TTTTTGTCAAAAATTATCCTTAAACTTTTTTGGGTACTCAAACATACCCCCTAAAACTAAAACATCAAATATCGTAAAATTTGTGAATTTAAAATAATGGGGATATTTCCTCATAATGTATACATTTAATCATGTATTAGTCATGCGGCGGTTTGTCAATCAAACGTTGTATTAATGTTTTTGACTTTATTAGCTTGATTTCATAAGTGAGCATTTTAAATTGAATAGATAGTGAAAAATCGTCTTTCGTGATGCAAGTAGACTTTCGACCAAATTGAAGAAACTCTTGTTTAGTCAGGACGTTGTTCATGTTCCTTGTGGTGCTTTTTCAACCCTTTGTTTTGACTTAGTAAATTGCATCTGAATTTATAATGAATAACTTATTTTCTTTCTATCCGATCAAGCATTGTTTAAGTTATATAAAAATTAATATACAAATAACTTATTTCTTATCCAGTCACCAAACGACCCCAAAAAAAGATTATGGAGGATATGGGAGACATGGCATTTAGAAAAAATAGAGATCATGGAAGAGGTGGAACATAATGGTGAAAAGTTGTGGAGAGATGGAGAAACTGAATTTAACACATCAAATAAAATATTCAGAATATGATATTTTAAACTTGTTACATGATAAATTAAAAATTAAAATAAAAACTCATTTATTTAAAAATCTCACCCACCTGACTCAGTGACCGTTTTCCAAAAGCTTGAACTCACGATTACATCTCCTTCTTTGTCATTTAATTAGTAGGATTTTGTAACTCCTAAATAACTTTAAAAATATAATTTATGGTTGTAATTATACAAGCTAATAAAGATAAAAAAAAAATATAAAAAAAAGAATTGTGTAATTCTCACCAACAACTCATTAGTAATTATGATTCTAAAATTAAGAAAACAATGTATTTACCAAATACCCGACTTTACGTCAGAAAAATTTATTGGAATAATAGCTCAAGAGTCAAAAATATGATATTGTGTAGGTCAAATAATCAAACTATAAAAGAAAAGAAGAAATAACAACAATTAGGAAGAAAAAAGATATAAGAACAATTATGTCAGGATTCAATCTAATAAGTTGAGTGATGAAAAGGATATAGAAGTAAATCTTTAAAAAGACTCAACAACAATGATAACGTATCTTGTGAAATTAGGTGGGGTCTGAAGAGAGTATAGTATACACAAATCTTATCACTGCTTCATAAAGATAGAGAGACTGTCATCCGCTCAAGTGCATCAAACCATGTATTAAACGAAGAAAACCATAAAATAAAAAAAACATAGCAGTAATATATAAAACAATAGTGAAAAAGTTTACAGAACTTTAAAAAGACTCATTCATATATTGGATATCTAACATAAACAAAAATAAAATCTAGGTAAAGTTTTAGTTTCTAGTTCATATCTAAGAGAATTTGGTCAAATCTTTTTCAGATTGGAAATTAAACTAAAAAAAAAAAAAAAAAAAAAAAAAAACGATCTATCTCAAATGACATTCTTTATCTTGATAAAAAAAGAAGAGTAAAAGAAGCCTTTTGTCCATAATTCCTTTTGGTGCACCTATAATATTCCTTTTGTTATAATAAGATTGCGGATTCATTTGTTTTCATTAAGATTAAGACATGTGAATCTGAATAAACATTTGAACGTTCGTTTTTCGGTATACTTCTGGTTTACAAGCGTTTTTATTGCCCGCTTCATTAATAAAATTGTTACCTCATCAAACAGAGAAACTTAAACTAGAATATTTCTTTCATCTGGACTAAGCCAATGATCTTGAATAATTCATAGATTCAACTCAACATGAATATTATTTTGAGTAAAGGTACTTAATGCAACTAGTATGTATGTCATTACACTGTGATTTTGTGTTCTGGCCTGTGAGTAAACTCGAAGTCTATATGGACGAAAGCACGCTCTACTTCAGGGAGTTGCTCCAGTTTTTCTTGCAGTGTTTCACCAATATTATGTGCCTGATTCAAAAACATGTCCTCTGGCAACACTATATCAACTTCCACAAAGTAATTTACGCCAAAAGTATATGCTCTAACCGTGTCAATGTGCTTGATCTCTTCATGATGATTCCATATAAGATAGGTTAATTTCGTAAGAAAATCTGGTGGAGCTGTTCTTCCTATGAGTGACCCGACATTTTCTGCTACTGTCCTCGCCCATGTGCTTATTGTGTACACAGCTATCTGAAAATACAATGTATATATAAAGACTTTTATGATTATCAGCAGTGTGAAACAATGTCTTACTACTAATCGAAAGTTGTGACTTGTGATTGTGAACTCACTATGATAGCTCCTGTAGGATCGATCCACCAGTAGAATCGGACTGCTAAGACAGCAGTCACTAATCCAACTGAGTTGGTTATGACATCAAAGAAATGGTCTTGGGCATAAGCTCTTACGATTTCATTTTTGAACCTTCGACAGTAGACCATAAGCAGAAACTTGACTACTGTGACCGAGACCATAATCCCAATCGTCCATTTTTCCTTCTCGTGGTCCATCTCAGGGCGAGACTGATCTCATACACATAGATAGAACCATCCAAACAACAAATGCAGGTTAACAAGTCAAGTGTAATGCAATTGCTAGGGAAATTGCAATATCTATCCAACAGTAGAAGTACCAAAACCTATTGTTTTTCCCTTCCGTTTCCTATAAATTGTAGTATTTCAAAAACGAGGGACAAATTTAAACGATTGACCTCTAGAAGTACGAATTCAAAATTCAAAACTCTATGATCATACTGCTGTGCAAAATTCATTCTCAGCAATTGACATACCTGATTTATGAGTTCTTTTGCAGACTCGAACAGTATTTGTAATCCTAGTGTTGCCATTACAGATGCAAAAACAATAATACCCTGAACGAAATAGCAACGAATGAGTTACAAAAACAACAGAACAAATGACTTAAACTGAGTGTGATCACGCACCACAGGCTGCATCCTTTTTTTCCCAATAGGATAGTGATACTGATTTGGATTTTTCATGGCATGAGAAGTAAACCACAGAATAAACCCGGATAAGAGGTCTAAGAGAGAATCCAACGTCGATGCTATAACAGCCAATGATTTGCTCTGAACAGATGCATATATTTTTGCGATGAAAAGGATTACATTAGCCATGTTTGATAAATGAATAGCCATCCTTTCACTCTTAGCAAGCTGCTTCATTTCGTCCTGATAAAGTACACAATTATTGCAAAAGTTAACGAGTTAATTTACGCCTTCTCGAGTAATTAACGAGAAAGAAACAAACAAACCTCAGTTAGACTTGCAGGTAAACAACCAGATTCATTAATGGTATCCATCTCATTGAACCCTTCCACAAGCCTTTCTTGCCTTTTGTAATATTCCGCAATTTTACCCTGTTTCCCTGTAAATAATCACACAATAGAACAGATATCGAGACTGGAAAAATGAATTTGATTATATGATTCACCCACCAAGTACTTACTTTTTGAATTTCGAGATTCAAACAAGTTTATAATTGACTGTATTTTCATTTGAAGATACCATGCCCAAATTAAACTCGAAATTTGAATTTTGTTACATAAATTGGAGCAGAGTGAGTATTACATATACATACTGGGAGTGGGAAGGAGACGACGGACACTAAAGGAGTGATGATCGGAGGAGCGTCGTTGTTCTGGAAGATGAAATTCGCTAACGTTAAGCCTCCATGACGCGGAAGATGATGACTGAATCTGATCAACCACCGCCTGAGCAGCCGGAGACAGCAGTTCCGTCCTAAAACTGTCGAACAGAGGGCCGTCATTGCTGCCGCCACCAACATTACTCCGACTGATTTCCATGTTTAGAGTAGTAGTAGTAGTTACGTACTGATATTATTGAACAATTAGCTTTTCTGCTTCTAAATGTAATAATGTTTTGTTTATATAGTAAGAGTCATCATCTCATGGTTATTGTTAGCGACAATATTTTTATGATAAAATCAGTTAACAATGCATTTTTATATTTGAAAGTTCTTATATATAAAAAAAAAATGCTTTCTTTCTTCTTAATTTTCATGTAAAGTCAAATACCTGAGGAAAAGAAAAAGCATTAAAATACTTACAAAATGAATTAAGTCCCTAGTACATGTTAGTATGGACGTAGAATTGGATTAAACAAATATTGTTTAACTTAACCGTCATCATACATTTGATAACTACTCCATTGCAGCACAACAAGAGTCATCTATCCACATCTATGTTTTTTTTTCTCACGAGTGGGAGAATCAATAATGTTCTCACTTATCCTTTAACATGATTCAAACTTTTAACCGACCAGATCGATGATGAAGGTGCTCAACTACTTGAGCAAACCTCAATCATTCGTCATTTATATAAAGTTGTATTCTTTCTTCTTCAATAATGATAAAGTGATAGTACTCCTTTCGAGCCCCCGGTAGTTTAATTTCTATCATTATGTTCAACCGAAATTTAGTAATTTTGGTCAAAATTCTATATTTGTTTCAAGAAATATGCTAAATATGTATAAATTATTAATTTAGAACTCAATAATTCAAATGGACTACAATTCCAAACCCATAAACTTTAAATTTTAACTTCGGCGAGTGCTAGTAAGTATTATCAGATAAGAAATACGGTGTACGTAGCATTCGAACTTTAATTGGCAATAAAACCAACTACTCCACATATAAACATTGCAGCATGAATCTTGCACTCTTCCTCATCTTTTACTTGCTTTATGGTGTGCGTCATTCTCCATTATACATTAAAAAACAAGACATGAAAGTGAAAAAGAATATGCACTAAACTTTCGTATTTTTGTCCTTTCCTATTCCAAGTGCTTCATAAAGCACAAATTCGAAGCATCACTTATCCTACAATTACAAGTAGAGTACTAATCAGAAACACTTGTTTTTAAACTATTGCTTTTGATATCTTAAGCCTTCACTATGACAAACTTCTTAAACATGATGAATCAGAGAATCAAGTTTGGCAGTAATCGGCAAATTAACAAATTTTATGCTCTCCTTTTAAGTAAAAAAAATTGCCACCTCTCCATAGTAGCAAGTGTATAAAATTACATCCTTATGAAAAGACGTATGTAATCATACATGTCCAACTGTTCATTATTTTAAACTAAAGTACGACAGTAATGAAACTCAATCCATAACCAAAATGGAGCATTCTACTCCACAACTTTTTCAAATACAAATTGTTGCTTGCGCCAAACTCTGCAGTAGCTACTATTATCTTGTATTTTAATTGGTGGCTGCTACCAACGCCATGTGCTCGATGAGGTCCAATACTCGGTTGCTGCAAAGGTTAAGATTACAATACAACTTTGTCAACAGTTCTGTAATATAGTAGTATGGACAAGGTTTCAACTCTTTTTTTTGTCATTGCCTATTTTCTTGTTGGGGATGGTTGGTTCAGAGATAAAAGGTCATACCTGTAACCCCACTCGTTATCATACCAGGAGACGAGCTTCACGAATGATTTGCTCAGGCCTATACCAGCTTTAGCATCAAATATGCTCGACCTACATATCAGATTAATTAATTAATTAGTAATTCAGCATAGCTTCAAATCAGCAGTTGAAGTAGTATATCATTCACAGTTAGAACTATTAGCAGTTCTGTCCACTTATATCCTACACGGCACTGACCTCTAATACTCGTGTACTTAGTTTATAGTAGCACCCTTTTTTCTTTGGATAATTATACTTTAGTGTACCACTTAATGATAGCATTGCCAAATGACTAATTTATATACAAGTATCGTTACTTTTTAGGAGGAATTTTCTGTTGTTGATAAATCAATCTGGCATCATATTAAAAGATGTGTTGTTTATTCTGCAAAAGTTGAGATATTGGCTACTCCAAGCTCAGATATTACTTCATCATCCTCTATTCAGATGAAGGTCAAAAGTGTCTTATACAAGAGCACCAGAAACTCAGATACTTTATCCTCCTTTATTTCAAGCACCCATATCATCATATTTATGTAGCTGAGAAGAGGAGAGCATATCAACCTTTGTCCTCTTCGATAGCTAAGCAAACTTTTTTAAAACGACAGACATTCTGCTTGCATGCATGATTTAATGAGCTGTTGCAAGAAATCTTCCACTTCCACAAAATAAAGAAGAGAACAAACGGTCATGCAACTCCCCTAACAATCTCTGTACATAGAGGGACATTTTGCTTTCCTCTAGTAGTGTTTCACTGTGACCACCTTTTATGAAGCTTTAGAATGAGAAGTTAAGATCACAGATAAATTATTTCAAACCAAGAAATTCCCGAGGGCTAGCTGGTGCATGGTTTGAGACTCGGTTGATAATCAACCAGCGCTCTTCTATTCTTCCCCACTTAAATACCCGGATTTGACTGCAGCAGGGTTCGAACTCATGACATGCACCTAAACCCAGTGCTCTTACCACTATACAAAAGTCCGTGTGGCAGACCATGAATTATTTTACAGAAAAATATTCAAGAAAAGGACTGCAGAGTATGGGTGAATTTGTTTTTACAATTTTTTTTAAAAATAAATTTTTTTGTTTGTTTTTTTTTGGGCTCAAGTCTCTGAGCAGCACATCTGCCCAGGGGCAATAATGGAGTGATAATTATCCACTGCCATTAATATGTTTTACGTTTAATCTTGTGAAAGGTGCAAGGAAACAGTTATATGGAAGCATTCAGAGAATATGAACTTCTGAAGCACATTGGATCTCCCTGCAACATGACCCCTATTCCCTAAGATTAGTGTGTAAGAGATCAAAAGAGAAGAATGAGCAAATCTACCTGGAATCGCCAACAAAATCATTTGAGACAACATCCTCGTCTGTGTAACCCAAAATGCCTTTAAGTGGACCCTCTGATGCATACCTAGAGCAAATAAAGCACTAAATTAGGTAAAATAGTCCAAAAACAAGATTGTCCATTAAATAAGAACCAGATGTATAGAGCATATAGAAAGCTTACTTTATCGCTGCTTTCACATCATCATAAGAAGCACTTTTATCTAGCCGGCAAGTCAAGTCAACAACAGAGACATTAGGTGTTGGGACACGGAACGCCATTCCAGTGAGCTTCCCATTCAATTCTGGCAGAACTTTTCCTACTGCCTATAATCAAAGAGGAACATTTGTCTTCCATCACAACCATGAACTTGCCCCTCTCTCCCCACCCCAATAACCGAAAAAAAAAGAGGAGAAACAGAAAAGGTAAATAATACATCAAGAACTTATGTAATACCTTAGCAGCACCAGTTGAACTAGGGATGATGTTTTGTCCTGCACCACGGCCTCCTCGCCAATCCTTCATTGATGGGCCATCAACAGTCTTTTGGGTAGCTGACCATGATATCAATTTAAATACGACATACAGAGAATGTAGACAAACAAAAGAGAAGGTAGACATGGTTTACACACGTGTTAAGCAAGAAGAGACATACCTGTTGTTGCATGCACAGTAGTCATTAGTCCCTCAATAATGCCAAACTCTTCATGAACCACCTGCAACGAGAAACAGCATGGGAAAGACCGTCAAAAGTGGAGAACAAGCAAATCATGTGTGGTTGTTCAATTAAGCCAGTTCTTAAGCCAAACCTTGGCAAGGGGAGCAAGACAATTGGTAGTACAGCTAGCGTTAGAAACAACATCCATGTTGGTTTTGTAAGTTTTCTCATTCACTCCTACCACAAACATAGGTGCATCAGCTGATGGTGCTGAGATTACGACCTTCTTTGCACCACCCTGCACAATCAAACAAAAAGTATCAACACAAGAGCTGCATGAATAAGGTGGGCAAAGAAAGAGCGTTTAAGGCCAGAAATAGCATGTCCTCCACCTTCTTATGTGCTGAGGCCTTATCAATAGTTGTGAAGACACCAGAAGATTCAACAACATAATCTGCACCTAAATCACCCCATGGAATATCTGCGGGATCCCTGCATCAAGAGAAGTTTGCATGAGTGAGCAATAAACTAACATGATTTATTTTATTGTTTTACTTGTAACTTAACTAATATACCTTTTGCTACTGACTTTAATCTGCTTCCCATTGATTTCCAAAGTAGAATCGTCCAGGACACTGATGGATCCACTGTAGACTCCATGAGTGGAATCATACTTGAGCATGTAAGCCTAAAATGAACAAACAGAAAATGTTACACACTTGGCCCAGAAGGTGGTTTTTCTTTTGATATGATAAAGTCCATTCCTCAAATCCCCTGCGGTTCATCCTCACTTTGCTCCCTTGGTGATAAATTACAGTTAGAGATTCTTCATTGATTCATTACTAGGCTATCCCTCTCTTGTCAGCTCATACCTCAGAGGGCTAAAAATCTACTCGCAGAAGTACATGAAGAACGATAGAGGAGAAACTATTTTGCAGGAAAGGACATCAGAAGATGAAAGCATCAAATAGAACACTAGAGGAGGAGGAAGTAATTCATAGATACAAAAACAAAAAGAAATATAATGATCTGCAGATCATAAGCTAGGGTTGCCATTTTTACCAGTAATTGTTTGGAGTCAGTGTCAACAATTTGTTTAATGACGGTGCTTTTTAAATGTATCCTTACTTATATCAGGAAAGTCCATTCACTTACAACCCTTCCTATTAAGGTGTCAACACTTAAGTTTGACATAATAACACCAGCCGAAGTCCTAGCGATGCAATATTTATTTCTACAGCGCTTATACACCGGGAGAAATTACACTACCAATCCCAATTTCATGCAGAATCACACACCATATTTTCACGGGATACGTTCTTACCATATACTTTGCATCGATAAATGGGTCATTAACTGCGACCACATCAATATCATCCCTGAATGTTGCAATTCGTAAAACCAATCTCCCAATACGTCCAAAACCTGCAATGTTTGAACAACTTAGACATACATTTTCTGCAGGTACTGTAACAACCATCATATATGTTCATACAAGAAATTTGATATAAACTTCTACAAGGGACAGAAAATCAAGAGACATCATAAACGAAGCAGCTAATATTTTCAACTCAAGAACCTTGAGAACTACATAATCCAAAACAAAACAAAGTAACATACCATTTATACCAATCCTTGTCTTCCCACCAGTCTGTGACCCTGAGCAAATGCCAAACAAATTCAAGCATCTCAACAACACATCCATTTGATCATCAAATCACAAGGTTTAAAGTTAGAAATGTAAAAAAAAAAACTTACTTGGAACTGTTGGAGGCAGCTCAGTAGCAGTTGCTCTGATAGGTTGAATACTGCAGGCACCAGATTTTCTGCAGGTTTAACTTTTGTATATCAGCTCTTTTTCTTCACTTACCAAAGTAGTAACGAAAATCAAGGATAGTAAAACACAATCACTCACTGTAAAGACGAAGATTGCAAAATTGTCACAGCATCTCCGAAGACAGACGATTGTAATTTAACAGAATTACTACTATGATGAAGTCCTGCACATGATGCCTGAACAAATTCATAAAAAGTCAAACACTTCCATTAATACATAAACTTGATTCATATATCAAATGCAGCTGAAGAAATTCAGATCGACTGGTAAAAGCTTATAACGAACGCAAACAAAACAAAGTTGACGAAAGTGAAACAGAGATCTAAATAACAGCATATTTACCTGAGATCGATGAGAAGGTCGAACAAGGGAGGCGGTAGGTTTGAGAAGAGAAGAAAAAGCCATTGTGATGAATGCGAGAGAGTTTGGTGAATCTCTATGCAACTGTATATATATACTATTGCCAAAAACCCTAGACAAAGAAAAAAAAAGAAATGAGAAAATGAGCGGAGATTCTTAGAATAAGCTGTTGTATTGTTGTACAGTAGAGAGGGAGGGGAAGTGACCAGCTGAATCCATAATGGGCCTGGCCGGGTCGGGCCGAATAAATAAAACACATGTTGGAGTTGACTGGCCGACAGCTGGGCCCGTCTACATGTCTATTTAATTGGATTTTGCCTTTATTGACCTGTTAACTTCAAATGCTCTGTATCACCTTTTTGAGGAATTTTTTTCTTTTTTTTTTTTCTTTTTCGTGTTTCATGTGGGAGTTGAATTCAACTTGAGAGGAATGGACATTAACAAAATAAAAAAACTACGGTGATTCAAAATCGAATCGAAATATGATAAGTTGAATCGAGAAAAAGTTGTTGGCTTATCGGTAATGGGTTATTGATTTAGCAATTACGGTGGTTTAAAGATTTTTCTTAATGGGTTAATTGACAACCCGATAGTAAATTAAATAATTATATTTATACAATTTTGTATATATAAAGTCATTAACTTAGAGTTTAATTTCATAATTTTATTTTAGGTTGTCTCAAACTTTTGATTGTTCTAAAATGTGACACTGTTTGCTTTTGAGCAAGATGCATTTCTCAATCATATGATTGAGAAGATGAATCAACGTTAATTAATTTGAGTCATTTGTTGGTCAATTTAGTTAGCAAATAAAATTGATAAAAAATAAAGAAGTTGGTGAATATAAATGGTAAAGTTGAAAATGATTTGAAGTACTAATAAATTTTATGTTGGTGAGAATAATCGTTATATAAGTATAAGTGGTTAAAAAAGTAATGATATGAATTATAACTTGTATTTACCTATGAAATAAATAGTTAGTAAATACAAATGTAAAATTATTTTTACAAATTATAAATTTGTAAATCAAATTTTATATTTAACATTCAATTTTACGTAGGCTGAAGCTACAAGCAAACCGGGCCAGGGCGGGCCTAACCTAACATGAAGAGGCCCGCAAGAAGATGCAGGTTAGGTGTAGTATATTGGAAACATCCACCAAACATGTGAAGGGGGGATGGATGTTGGATTTGCACCTGATGGATGATGCGTAATATACAGGAAAGTATATTTGCACTTGGAAATAATTCATTTTAAATACTCGAAAAGTCAAATACTATTCTCAACTACGAACATTAGTATATTAACCATCAAATCGAAAAAAACTCGATTAATGGTTTGATTTGATTTGATATTAAAAAAACTTGACAATATATGGGTTGGTTTGGTTTTAATTTTAAAAAAAAACAATTTGAAATCAAATTAACTCGACATTATATATAATTATTAAAATCTATTTTATACATAAAAGTATTTACTTTGATGTAATTTCTACTTATACGTTAATTCAACACTAAGATTTAAGAATGACAATAATGTTGAATATTTGTTCTTTAGTTTTACATTGGTTTAGACATTTAAAATATGTAACCCAATATTAATTTTTCTTTAATGTTTAATCATGTAATTACTACTTATTAGACTTATTTTACCATGATTTAGTACTTTCAAATTATGATAACTTTCATTATGACTTGTTAATTTACCATATTTATTTTATACAATTTCATTATTATTTTTTATTGAATGTTTTAGTATCATCACTCATCTCATATTTTGTGTTAATTTCTTAAGAGACACCTTAGATAGTTATATTTTGATTGAACTAAAGAAATACTTGAAACACAAGTTAATTATATGTTTATATGAATACTTTACCATCCAAGGTTTATTAGTTTGATCTAAGTTAAAAATTTAAAAATTCCAACTGATTTGGTTTGGTATTTGAAAAACTCGAACCAACACGAAATAACCCAACGTTGAAAAATCCAAATTTCATTAGTTTGGTTTGATTTATAACTTTAAAAATTTGATACAAATGGTTTGGTTTGATATTTGAAAAATCCGAACAAAACCCGATCATGTACGCCCCTAGCTGCTGCTGTAAAATAGAACTCTCCCATCTAAAAAGACTCTCTGCTGTTAAGCTATTCACAAATACAGGAGATCTCAAACTTCTATATCTTTTGTTACTCCTTCTCTTTTCTGCTTTTTGTTCCTTCCCTTTCTCTCATTTTGCATTTTCTGTTTCTGGGCTTTACGACTTTCTGCTTTCTCCTCAAACCCATCATCCATCATCTTCATTGATGCAACACGCTTCGCCTTGTAAACCTTCGAATGCCACAAAAATTTATGTCAAGCTAAAAGAATTTCAACCAATCGAAGTAATCTAAAATTAGTACTGAACACTTGACGCGTATTTGGTTTGACAGAAGTCATTTTCCGGAAAACGAAAAGATGTTTACTGTATTTGGTTATGAGCAAACCAGATATTGTTTTGATGAAACTTTTGAGTAAAAGAGATTGACAATAATGTAACACCATTAGGTTAAGGCAAGGATATGAAGCTGACAGATGTGAGTTGTGAAAGACAATGACTTTCACCTAAAGTAAGGGAAGTCATTCTCCCTCTTTGGAGCAAAATATTTGCCCTGAAGTATGAAGTACCAGAAAATAACTTATGTTCTGAAAACTATTTTCTGTCATACCGAACACACCCTTTAAGCCTGTCGGTACTCTTTGCATCAAGGTATTTAATACAGGTATTCAAGAATACTTTCTGCCATACCAAATACACCTTTAATCATGTTGGGTATTGTATCAAGGTATTTAATACAGGTATTGAAGAATGTTTTCTGCCACACCAAATGCACCCTTTTAAGCCAGTTGGGTACTCATTGCATCAAGGTACTCAATACAGGTATTCAAAAATATTTTCAGCCATACCAAACACACCCTTTAATCCTGTGGAATACTCATTGCATAGAACTATCCAATGCAGGCAATTAAAACTGACATATCCTAAACTTATTAAATTGACCAGACATTTACAAAAAGGGGAAAAGAAGGTATCTGTCTTACCTTTGAGATGTCATCAAGCACCTCATTCTCTTTACAATCAAATTTCTCCAATTGTTTCCCAAGCACGGCTTCTATTTCATGAATGAGATCCACATCATTCTGCAAGAAAAAATCTTTAAACTAAGCAAACAAAAGAAAAGAAATTTTAAAGCTTCAAGTCCTAGAAGTTCCTGATTAGTCCTAAGGCAAAGAAAAACATTCATAAAACACAGCAAACATCATTATTGGCATACCCCCAACACCTTTTCCGTGATATGGGTAAGTAAGCTTGACGAAAATAAAAGGAAGAGGACTTCACTCAGAGAAAAGCAGCACTAATACTGAATCACACTTGTTAGCAACACACCCTTTTGACTGAAGGTCTGTCAATTCAATTTCTTCATTTCCAACTTAAACACGCTTCTTTTCTTCTCCCTTTTTGGATAGACTACAACCCAAAATCTAACTGTCAGGTAATTTTGGTATATCTAATTGTAGATCGATGAAATGGGCACATCACATGAAGCACCAGATGAGGCCAAGCTTGAGACTGAAAAGCTCAGGACAAACTCGTTAACAAAAGTAAAGCCGAGTTGCGTCCGAGAACTTGAAAAAAAACAAAGATCAGGAGGCAAATTTGAAAGTAAAGAAGCTCACTCATGAATTGAAAAGAAGATGAGCACGATGTAGTGAAACAATTCTATGAAGCAATCGAGTCAAGACTAAAGGAACAAGAGACTGCTGTCAACCATTTAAGCGAACTTCAAAAGCTTTGTGCTGACTATGCTGAGATGCTTTGAAATGTGAAGAAAATATACGTCGGCAATGGCACTAGATGGTGCAAATGCAACCAATATCAATCAAGAACAATATATTCATTCCACCAAACAAGAAATTGAGAGGTGAAGGCAATTTGCATAGACTTCACAGAAGAAAAAGGCATCAGAAGCTGATAGGAGAGCCAAAGCAAGAAAACGCTGAGAGAATGATGAATGCTGCTGGAAATGGATGATTAAAACAGGAAGCCTGCAGATCAACTAAATGAAGAAACAGTGCAGTCATCTAGAGGATGCTCATGGCAAGCTCAGGCAACAACTTCAAAAATGTGAAGAAGAGAATAAAGGGCTGGTATTGGCTTTAGATGGTGCTAATTCAGCAACACTTCTCACCTGAGTAACAAAGCTGACAGCAAGTCCACCTCGTCCAGCTCTTGCAGTACGTCCAACACGATGAACATAATCCTGTGGATACCTGCAGCAGACAATCACTACATTTATTACATTAACCTCTTTTACATTAACTTGTAATGGAAAGATCCAATCATATTCGCACCTGGGAATGTCATAATTTACCACCAGATCAACTGTTGGAATGTCTAAACCACGACTCGCAACATCAGTAGCGACCAATATTGGGACCTGCCCAGATTTGAATTTATGAAGTGCAGAAAGCCTCAGTGACTGGGACTTGTATGAATGCAACGCGGCAGCATCAATTTCGAGTTCTTCCAACAACAAACCCAAAAGCTGACAGCTCCTAGTCAAAATAGTAAAACATAACTGTGAATATACAGAAATCATTCTTTTATTTTTTAAGATTGATAAGGAAAGCATCAATGAGTACTGTTACCTTTAAGATTATGATACTTGTTTGAAACTAGTTTGCATACCTTAGTGTTGTACATACTTTCACTTATTGAAATTAATGGTGTAAGAGAACCTTCCAGATTAGTGAATAGTTGCTAGATGTGTGATAAGATCTTTTTTGTTTTATCAATTGTTTTTGGTGAAATAGAACGTCTTGGTAGTATCGGAAATAGCCTCTCTATCCCACGAAGGTAGGGGTAAGGTCTGAGTACATCCTAACCTCCCCAGGCCCCACCGGTGGGATTACACTGAGTGTGTTATTGTTGTAGTTAGTCTTGGTAGATCACAATAGCCGAGTCACACCCTTTTACATACTTATGATACTGATCAGGATGCTATTAGTGAAAGGATTACTGGATTTTTCATTCACTAAAAATTGTATTGCATGCCAATAAAAACATAAAAAGAATACAAGTTAAAGAAGTTTTTGAGTTATTTCATTTTA